AAATAACTTGACAAAATCCAACACTAATTCATGTGAAAAACTTGTTGCAAACTAGGAGTAGAGGGGAAGTTTCTCAACATGATAAATGACATTTATTTAAAAGCCTACAACTATAGTCACACTTGATGATGAGAAACTAGATGCTTTCACCATAAGATTGGGAACAAAACAAGGATGTCTCCTCTAATCACTCCTATTGAACATCATACCAGAAGTCCTAGCTAATGCAATAAGAAAAAGTAAAATAAAAGGTATACAGACATGGAAGGAAGAAATAAAACTGTCTTTGTTCACAGTGACATGATTGTCTAGGTAGAGGTTTTCAAAGAATTGATAAAAAACCTTCTGGAACTAATAAATGACTATGGCAAGACTGCAGGACATAGGTAAATATACAAGTCAATCACTTTCCTATATATCAGCAACAAGCAACTGGAATTTGAAATTTAAGACACCCCATTTATGTTAGCACCCAAAACTGAAATACTTAGGTATAAACCTAACAAAGTATGGGCAATGTCCTAATGTCTATATGTGGAAAACTACAAAACTCTAATATAAGAAATTAATAAAGATCTGAATAAATGGAAAGATATTCTATGTTAGTGGATAGGAAGACTTGATATTGCCAAGATGTCAGTTCTTTCCAACTTAATCTATAGATTGAATACAGTCCCAACCAAATTCCAGTCGGTTACTTTGTAGAAATTGAGAAACTGCCCTTAAAGTTTATATGGAAAAGCAAAAGACCAAAAGTAGCTAAATTAACAGTGAAAAAGAACAAAACCAGAAGACTGACACTGACTAACTTCAAGAATCAATATAAAGCTACAGTCATCAAAATATTGTGGCATTGCCAAAGAGTAAACAAATAGATAAGTGGTGCAGAATAGAGAGCTCAGCAATAGACTCGCATAAATATAATCAACTGATCTTTGCCAAAAGAGCAAAGGCAATTCAAATGAGAAAGGACAGTCTTTTCAACAAATGGTGCCGGAACAACTACACAAAAACATGCACATGAATGTTTATGGTAACTCATAATCACCAAAATCTGTAAGTAACTAAGCCCTTCAATAGGTGAAGAGATAAACTATGATGCATCCATACAACAGAATATTATTCAGTGATAAAAATAAATGAGCTATCAAGCCACAAAAAGACATGGAGGAACCTTAAATATATATTGCTAAGTGGAAGAAGCCAGTCTGGTTCCAACTATATGTCACTGTGGAAAAGGAACAACTGGAGGGACAGTAAAAAGATCAGTGGTTAGTAGGGGTTTCGGGAGGAGTAAAAGGAGAAGGAGGCAGGAAAGAAAGGATTAATAGGTGGAGCACAAGGGATTTTTTTAGGGCAGTGAAATTATTCTGTATAATATGGTAATAGTAGATACATGACATCATGCATTGACAAAAGCCATAGAAAGCACAACACAAAGAGCAAACCCTAATTTAAACCATAGATTTCAGTTAATTATAATTTATCAATATTGGTTCATTGATTATAACAAATATACACTAATATAAAATATTAATAGGGGAAACTGTGGGGGAGGAGTGTAAGGCAGGGGAAGAGAAGGAGTATATAAGAACTCTGTACTTTGTGCTCAGCTTTTCTGTAAACTTAAAACTGCTCTAAAAATCAAGTCTATTAGTTTTTTTTTAAAAACAAGACCAAAAAAAAAAAAAGCACAAGACAAGGTCAAAGCATAAACATTGCTCTCGTCTCCACTCACTTGAATCTGATGTTTTCAATTTGTGCCTTTTTGGGTTTTTGGTTTATTGGTGTGTTTTATCTGATAATAGATATAAAAGTACTTCATATAGTGTTGGTTACATTGTGCAAAACTGCATTTTGAGGAACTCCTTTTCTTGCATTTTTAAAGCATAAGGAGGAAAGGGGAAGTAGAAAAGGAGAAAGACGAGGAAGAGAGGAAGGCTACAACCTGAGGAACTCAAATGCCATAGTTCCATATTAACATCCACCCTTAAACAAAAGGCAAAGTTGCAACACGTTTATCTTTTATATAATCACAACAATAGTTTTGTGCCTAAGTGCCACAAATAAAGAACGTCAGTAAATTGGAGTTAAGCAATGCAGAAAAGTGGGGTGTATCTTCTTTAGCTGTATTCATCTTCCTTTCCCTTTTCTCCTCCTTCACATACAGATGCAAATTGATAGTTGTTCAATTTTATTTGGAATTTGTGACACAGCAACCATTGGCCTGCTTTGGGATCTGGATTATTTGCCAAGTTTTGCCACTTCTTCATTCTCCACTCTCTCAGATGTTGAGGATGAGCCTCCTCACACTCACCACTAGCCTCTAGTATAGTTGATCAACATCCTATTCTCTAGGTGCCTCATGCATTAGTCACTCATTCCTCTCTTTACCTTTTTGTATGCATATGCATGTATACACATGCACAGAGAGTCCTTAGCTAAAATATATCCTGGAAGGATGACATCATTCCATTTCATCCTGTGTTATTTTTTGGTCATCAGAACACTCCAAGTTACATCCATATTTCTACCTGTTGACAGACTCAACTCCTCCCAATGAGGTTAAGTTAGAAATAATTGTCCATTTATGGCATGGTATTTCCAATATGAAATTCACATTGGCTGACCCAAAAGTTTGAGAATTTTCCATACATCTAGAGGCCTAATATAATCAAACTCCTTCCTATAAATGGAGCATCAATGCAGGTGTTAGAGGAACCAACAAAGTCAGTGCCCCAGTAGTTACTAGAGAGCACAAGTTTGTACCAACCAAGAAATATTTGAGAGGAAAATTATGCTTTAAAGTATGTAGCTCAGGTTTTGAGCCCATAAATCCTTTCAAAACAGATCCGTGATTTAAAACTTTTAGTCTTGCAACTTCTTAAACAATTGATGGTATAATTGGAAAGCACCTATAAATTGAAGCAGACGCAGACTACAAATGAGTCTTCCCAATTCCCACTTCCTCAACCTCCATATCCACAACCCAGATCCCTCCCTCGGTGCTCTGAGTGAAAGCCATGCACCTGCTCAAGCAACTCAGATTGCAAAGAGAAGTAGTTAATGGAAGCTGAATACATCATAGCCACAAACTATTTAACTCTACTATAAAGAATGGATCCATGTAAGTAGGAATGATTTTTTTTTGTCTTGGCTGGATTGGGTTTCCACATGACTCAACCTCTGCCCCACCTCTGTGACTGCCTGTACCTGCCTATGTGCTCTGATTCCACGCCCCCCCCCCACACACACACTTCCTATTTGAGAAACGCAGGCTTCTCCAAGGAAACTGAGCAAGAAGAGTATCATGCCAATCAGAGGTGCAGGGGTAGGGGTTTTATCATTGAAACTAAAGTGCATGATAAGGGGAAGGTAGAACAAGTACTGTTGCAAAGTTCACTTTTAGAGGCAATTGATGTAAAAGTGTGCAGCCTGGTATCGCAAAAGTTAGGCATAGGTTTTCCACTCAAAACTTTATTAGAAATTTCCCCCAATCTCCATTCTAAAATATAACTTCTCTTACTTCATTTCTTGGTCCTCGCTCATGACCAATTGTTTTTACATAAAAGATATTCAACATAATTATACAACAAAAATAAATAAAATGTCCCTAAATATTGAAAGTAAAATTAAATTAACTTGTGTATTAAAGTAGTGGCATAACGAGAGAGAGGTAAACAATTTCATGTCAGTTTAAGATACAGTAATTTCATTATCCATCCCTACTGTGGGTATGCCCTAAGGGTAAAAATAATTAAAGAAAAAAATCTTCAACTCTTTTCAGTAATTCTTTCATTGGTGGTACTGTTGATATTTTTACATTGACACTGCTTTATGTATATTGTGGGATAAAGTAAATGAGTAATTACACTGGAGACATTGAGAGCTTGAATTTTGATTTGGAAAAAAAGTCAATACAGATATAAGATCATTGAGGTTAAATAAAATCTCTGTAGTCTTGAGTGGAAGTACCAATGTAAATAATTCATGGTGTATTTTATCGCCAAATAAGATTCTACCTCTATACACCAAGTGGGAAAAAAGGGATATCCAATAGTGTGGTCCACTTTTTCCATTTAACATTATGTAATACACCTTTCCTTTAAATTCCAAAATAAAGGAGGTTTCCGATAATTAATGGCATTAGTTTTCACTGTCTGATAAGTTACTTCTTAGGAGGAAAGGTCCAGAGGCCATCTAGCTGCTAGTAGAATGGGTTCAGAATTTCCACAACAAGCTCATTGTGCTTTCAAAAAGTAAAGTCAGTAGAACTAGTGCTCCAATGCTCTTTCACTTAAAAACAGTATAAAATGAATAGAAATAATGATCATTAACCATGTATTGCTGAGCTGATATATGATGAGACTAATTTAAGGGGCTGGACAGGAGGGGGCGTTACAAACTCCTTTTGCTGGAGTACACTGGTGGAGATGGATGCCTAGGGAGAAAATATGCAATTTTCTGTAGGCTAAAAAATTAACTGGAGTGTATCAGGCTCAAGTCATTAACATAGAATTTGTGCCCTCTAAGCTAATTGGGCAACAGGGAGTTTACACATCATAGCTAACCACCAATAAAGATAAACTTTACTTATTTTGCTTGGGACTGGAAAGAAAAATTGGGGGGGAGGGGAGGCGCAAGCGCGGGGCCGCATGCATACATACACAAACATATACACAAACATGTGTAAAATTACATTGGCTTTGTTGTTAATACGGCTGCTCAGTGAAAAGTGTCCTGTGGCCTGTCATCCCGGCCTTCTATTCAGATATTTCAAATCGAGGATGAAGAAAGGACAAGGTCTCCGGTCCAGTTTAGACTTCAGCAACCTCGCTAGGAACCGGAAGGACTCACGGGTCAGGTTGCCCCACCGGCTTCTTTATACCATTACACACATTACATCCCGTCGGCGCGACAATCTAGGTCAGGGGAAGGTATTTACCGACGTACCCGGAACTGTTTCCAAGGTTTCCTAAGGTTCCGGTTGTGACGCAGTGACAGGTCTTCCCGGGAGCCAAGGCAACCGGTATCTTCCCAAGCTAGCAAGAGCGCCCCCTTCTCCCCGGCTTCGGGGACACAGCGACAGTGATGGCTCCGGTGTCTGGTTCGCGCAGCCCAGAGAGGGAGGCCTCGGGCTCTAGGGTGAAGCGTCGCAGTTCGTCGAGGAGCCCTAAGCCCAGCAAATCCGCCCGATCCCCGCGGGGCCGCCGCTCTCGCTCGCACTCTTGTTCTCGGTCTGGGGATCGGAATGGCCTCAGCCATCAGCCGAGTGGCCTCGGCCAAAGCTCCCGAAACCAGCCCTACCGCTCCCGCTCGCGGTCACGCTCTCGAGAGCGGCCTTCTGCGACGCGGGGCACCCCCTTCTCTTCTGCCTCGTCCGCCTATTATGGCGGCTACTCACGCCCCTACGGGAACGACAAGCCTTGGCCTAGCCTCTTGGACAAGGAGAGGGAGGAAAGCCTACGGCAGAAGTGAGTGAGATGGGCGCACCCTCTCTTGCACCCACCTACCTTCCAAGTCCAATTTTATAGTTCATCCTTACTGACTATTTACATTTCTCTCTCCGCCTGCCTTGTGCCCATTTTCATTCCTTCCTTCAGTGCACCCACTACAATGCCTTATTTGCTCTTTAATCCCCTTAAGTTTTCACTCATCCTCAGGCTCCTTTAATACGGTGCCGTGGTCTGCCGCTACCCGCTTCTGTCTCCAGGCTTCTAGCGGACGTGGCCGAGCGCCTCAGACCTACCGGAATCTTATAGGAAGCATTTACTTGGTTGCGTGGTTATCATTCGTGAGCATGTTTTTATTTCCCACTAGACAGTTCTAATGGAAAGGAGGGACCCTATTGTATTGAATACAAAATTCACAGTGATTAGCACTCTGTAGGAACGCTGCCATTGCTTGTTGAATGATCAGACAGGTTTGAACAGGATATCTTAAGTGGAAATATTTTGTAGCCGGTTGGGAAGGGTTGAGATTAAAGGTTTAAATTGGAGAGGAGAAAAACCTCTAATGACAAGATAATTGGATGAATGCAGGAAAAGTGACCTGCTGAACTCTAGATAAGGCTACATTGAGAAGGATCTTATTAAAAGTGTTCTCAATCTTGACCATGAAAAGTAAGGTCAGGGTAAGATCAGGTCTCTAATGAGAATGAGTACTGAAGTGGAAAAATAGATAGTTTAAGAAGTAGAAAGGAAACGGGTTATAATTATCTCTAAGTCTTAATGTCTAATGCTTAATGAGTGTTAAATTATGTGGCGGGCACTGTACCAAGTGGTTTACATTCACTATGTGTTAAAAACGACATTTAAAAGTATTACAGGCATTGAGGTTAAGGTTTTAATAGCAGCAGATGTCCCCATGAATTGTTTTCTTCCAGGAGAGAGAAGCCAGTAAAGCATACTGAAGAGGACAGGCTTCAGAATCACACTGAGGGAATTCAAAGCCCTGCTTTGCTGCTTAATAGTTGTGTGACCTTGGGCAAGTTACTTATCCTCTCTTGAGTTTAATTTCTTCACTATTTAAAAGGGGATGGAATTAGTACAATTGCTTTTATAGTTGTAATGATTTAGTGCTTGGAACCTAATAAATAGTCCTTACAGTGTTAATTATTAGGTTTTCCTGCCTGGGAACAGAAACAGTAAAAATGGTCCTGAGTTAGGTTGGAGACTTACCTCTCCAAATTAAATTTTTCAGAAAGTTAGCCCCAGGCTGTGTCAATCAAAAAGCAACCAGCTTCTTGCTAGACAATCATTACCAAAAGATGTTGGAACTTTTGGATGAAATTTGCATTTGTACATTTAGAAAATAAATAATTTATCTTAAAAGGACAGATGGCAACAGGGGTTGAATTTGACTGCTTGCTCTTTACAGCCTGTCAAGCATTCTTCCTCCTGTATGCACAGTATTCCAAGTTCAGTCATAAATATGTCTCTTTTTAGACTGTTTCTTCGAGTGGGAAACCTGACTCTGCACAATTATAATACCTCTTCCCCTGAATAAAGAATTATATTTATTTTGTAAGTTTTTTTTAAACAAATGGAGTCACAAGCTGCTAAACTTTGAGGAATTGAGCCTTAGGTTTTTATGTTTGTTTGTTTATGAGTAATAGCAAAAATTAAGGGAAGCAATCACAAACATAAAACTTTTTTCTGTGTGTCCTCTTAGAGTAGATAGAGATATAATCTTTTTTCTAAAAATGAACTTAAATGGAAAAAGAAAAACCCTGTATCTCATTGAGTATAATTTTTTGTCAAATAAAATTTCTTTTCAGAGCTCTCTTTATTTTCTACTTCTAATGCTTCATTTTTATTTTCTTCATTAATTGTTTCTTTAAGATTTTATTTATTTTTATATTTATTTTTAGAGAGAGGGGAAGGGAGGGAGAAAGACAAGGAAAGAAGCATCAATGGACTAGAGAAACATCAGTCCGTTGCCTTTCACATGCTCCTAACCAGGTATCTGACCTGCAACCCAGGCTCTGACCTGAATTGAACCAGTGACCCTTTGCCTTGTGGGAAGATGCCCAATCTACTGAGCCACACCAGCCAGGGCTATTTTCTTCATTAATTCTTGAATGTCAACAAACAGAAAGTTCGACCAAACAAAAGTATTGACCTCTCTATTTTCATAAATGTGTGTAAACAAAAGAAGTTATTTACAAATGTAAAACTTTCTGCACTCACACATTGCAGAATATGAAATGAGCAGTTGGGAGCTAGGTCACGTGTGTGGCAGAGAGGATGCACTTAGCAGCCTCCCAGGCTACATTTCTGGCCCAGCCTCTCAAGCTATCTGTAGTCTGTGCCATTTGATAGTATTATCAAAACATCAGATCCTAATTGTTGACTTTATATTTAAGCCAAGTTTTTTATTTTTGTTTTTTAATAAATTTATTTATTTTTAGAGAAAGGGAAGGGAGGGAGAAAGAGAGGGAAAGAAACATCAGTCAGTTGCCTCTCACAGACCCCCAGCTGAGGACTTGGCCTGCAACCCAGGTATGTGCCCTGACCAGGAATCAAACCTGCAACCTTCCAGTCCTCAGGCCAGAGCTCAATCCACTGAGCCATACCAGCTAGGGCTAAGCCAAGTTTTTATTAATTTAAAGTTTAAAATGTAAGGGAAAATACGACTTAACTGGACTCCTTTGAATTTCATTGTATGTTTAGGAATCAATTTATCCATTTAGTTATAATTCACATGCCTATATCTTCTAGGAGATTAAGCGAGAGAGAGAGGATTGGAGAATTGGGAGCTCCTGAAGTATGGGGACTTTCTCCAAAGAATCCAGAACCAGAGTAAGTGATTAAAAAGTATATTTTTAAATGTAATATTTGTTTAACTCCAGAGTCTATTGTCAAATTTTTGTTCAGTACAGCTCACATTTTTCTCCTTTCTTGTGATTAATGCTATTCTACCACTAAGTTTGTTTTGTTTTTTTAATTTATTTTTAGAGAGGAGAAGGGAGGGAGAGAAACATTGGTCAGTTGCCTCTCACATGCCCTCAACTGGGGGCACAGCCCACAACCCAGGCATGTGCCCTGACTGGGAATTGAACCAGTAACCTTTCAGTTCCAAGGCTGACACTCAATCCACTGAGCCACACCAGCCAGGGCTACCCCTTACATTTTAAAGACATTGAACATATCTATTGCTAGCAGATTTTAGCATGCTAATAGTTTTCTTAAATTGTTATTCACAGGATGCAAATTTCTTGTTCATAGAAGGGTTCTGTGTTAAAACAAATACTTTTATACTATTTCTGATCTTTTTTTTCTCAATCCAGTAGCAGTTTGCATGTTAGATGTTAGCATTACAAAGGGATTTTTTGCAGTATAATTGACATACAACATTATATTGGTTTCAGGTATCCAGCATAATGATTTGATATTTTTATACAAGGGTGGGCAAAAGTAGGTTTATAGTTATTCATATGGAAAATAATATAACAATAAATAATAATACAAGAATAAACTGTTTTGTGTACTCACAATTATAAACCTACTTTTGCCTCACCCTGTATATTTTTGGCTCCTTTGTTGTAAATTAATTGACCATATACAAGGGGGACCCCCCAACAAACCGGAATTATCTTCTGGAGGGTGCGACCCTTGTAGTACAGGCTTTTCCCACTAGGCAAGTATTCTAGGAACCCATCTGTATCGGTTTTATCAGCTGGCATTGTTGTGAGAGGCTGCCTTCAGCTTCAGTGAATATTTTTTGAAGGCTCTTTCAGCATGTTTGCATATTTCATGGTGGGGGTTTACCAGCACACCTGCCCACACCATGCTGAGTGTTCAGCAGTTTTTGACCAAAAATGGCATGACTCCTGTGCCACACCCTCCCTGTTCACCCAATCTGTTGCTGAGCAACTTTTTTTTTGGTTTGTTTCCCTGATGAAAAAAGTGCTCAAAGGGAAATGTTTTGCCAGTATAGAAAAGGTCAAACAAACAAACAAACAAAAAACGGCAGAAGCACTAAAAGACATCAAAATCAACGAGTTCAAAAACTGTTCTGAGCAGTGAAAAAAGTCTCAATAGGTGTATTGCATCAAATGGAGAGTACTTTGAAGGTGTCTAAAGTTTAAACATGTAAGAATAAATACAGTTTTTTAGAAATAGATTCCAGGGTGTTTTTTTTCTGGTCCCCCCTCATATGTGTAGGTTTATTTCTGGGCTTTCTATTCTGTTCCCCAAGGAATTTTTTTCAATAAACATACTGATATGGTTTTGTTTAGTTCTCCTATATCTAGTAGTATCTGAAGATTTAATCCTTTTTTCCTTTTCCTTTTTTTTTCTCTCTGGTTCTGTTGATCAGCTGCTTCTTCCTTCTGCTCTGTTTCTGTGTCTACTTTAGGTTGAGTTGAAACAGTGGGCTTGACTGGTAAACTTGTCATTTGTGACAGGGTGATAGAGCATTATTATCTGAAACTCGTTCTTATCTGAAACCTTTGGGAAATGCTTGAAGAGTCTGACCCCAAAGAATTAGAGTTGGAAAGAACCCTAAAATTAATTTTCTAAGCAATACCTAAATTATTCCAGATATGATTTGCAGAGAAAAGATTATATGGTGTAAGAACTCCTTTTCTAAACCATTACAGAATTTTTTATAGCACTTATTTTCGGAATTCTCTACAACAGAAAGAAATGTGTTTATACCATAGTGTGTGAGGCTCTTCTTGCTCTGGGGAGACAGAGCAGTTGCTGCTCTGCCATTTGTCCTTTACACACATAGAAATAAAATTATGACATCTTCCCACAGCCTTCTTATCCCCACTTTCTTTCATCTTTCCTTATGGCTCCCATTGCCTTACTTTCGTCCTGTGCTTTCTTCTGAAAATATGAATCTTACATGCTTATTTCAGTTTGAATAGCACTTTGTAAACTCTAAAGCATTATGCAAGTGTAAATGATTACTATATTATCATGAAGGTGGTAAATCCTTAACCGATACTCTTAGAAAAGCAGTCCAGTGCTTGCTTTTAATAGTTCTTGGAAATCGTTTGATACTAAAACTTTTTAACTCTATATTTTTTATACTCTGTGGTCCATATTTTATCACTTTCCTGATTCTTTTTTTTCTTTTTAAATTACAATTGACATACAATATTATATTTGTTTCAGGTATACAATCCCATGATTAGACATTTACATAATTTACATAGTGATCACCCTAATAAATTTAGCACCCATCTGGCACCATATATAGTATTACATTATTCCCTACGCTATACATTATATTCCTGTGATTATTCTGTAACTACCAATTTGTACTTCTAAATCCCTTTACCTTTTTTACCCACCCCCACCAACCCCTCTCCTATCTGGCAGCTATCAATGTTTTCTGTATCTATTAGTACATTTCTGTTCTGCTTATTTGTTTTTTAAAATCCCACATATAAGTGAATTATCTGGCATTTGTCTTTCTCTGTCTGACTTACTTCACTCAGCATAATACCCTCTAGGTCCACCCATGTTGTTGCAGATGGCAAGATTTCATTCTTTTTTATGGCTGAATCGTATTTCATTGTATGTATGTACCACTTCTTTATCCATTCATCTATTGATGGACACTTAGGTTGCTTCCATATCTTGGTGATTGTAAATAATGCTGCAGTAAGCATATGGATGTATATGTTTTTTCAATTCACTGTTTTGGGTTTCTCTGGATTAATACCCAATAGTGGAGGTACTGGATCCTTCTTTGTCTCTTGTTAATGGCTTTTGTTTCAAAGTCCATTTTGTTAAATATTGATGGTTTTTCAGATATGGCACCCACCTGCCAGCTCTGTGTGGAGAGGGCTCAGCAAAGAAACAATGACTTTTGTCAGCACTTCTGTCTGGGAGAAAGCTGCCCCTCCAGCCCTCTCACTGATGCCAGTGATGCCAGTCAGTTCAGTTCCTCCCCGTATGCCTCTGGTGCCTTTTTGACCTGATGCCCCAGCACTGGAGCTCAGAGGGAGTGAGTCTGAGTAAGTCTGTGCACTGGCCATTTAAGAGGAATGTCACACTCAGCCACAATCCCTGCTGGTTTTTATACCCAGAAGTTATGGGACTTCTCTTCTTGGTACTGGAACCTGGGCTGGGGGTGCCTGGGTGGGGCTGGGACCACTTGTTCCTCAGAGAGGGACCTCTGCAGCGAAGATATCCCTCCCGGTTTTTCACCGCTGTATGTGGGTGTGGGACCAGCCTGTTCAGTGTCTCTGTCCCTCCTACCAGTATCAATGTGGCTTCTTCAGTTTATTTTTTAGTTATAGGACTTCTTTTCAGCTAGATTTCAAGTGGTTTTGAATGATGGTTGTTCTATAGTTTAGTTGTAATTTTGATGTGATCATGTGAGGTTCTGAGTACCGTGTTTAGGTACTCCCATCATCTTGACCAGCCCCCGACATTTCTGATTCTTATAACCATGCTCTTTATTTTTTTCATGGTCCAAGCATGTAGTGATTTTTATTAAGAATAAGTTTGAGCCCCGACCTGGTAGCTCAGTTGGTTAGAGCATGGTCCTGATACACCAAGGTTGGGGGTTCGGTCCCAGTCAGGACACATAAAAGAATCAACCAAAGAATACATATAATAAGTTGAACAGCAAATTGATGTCTCTGTCTCTCCCCCCTTCCTGTCCCTCTAAAATCAATAAAAAAAAATTAGGGGGAATTTTTTTTTAAAAGAATAACTTTGGTTTGCCCTGGCCAGGTAGCTCAGTTGGTTGGGATGTCATCCCATACACCAATAGGTTGTGGGTTTGATTCCTGCTCAGGGCACATACCTGGGTTGTGGGTTCAGTCCTCGGTCAGGGCACAGCTGATTAAGGTTTCTCACATCGATATTTCTGTCTTTGTCTCTCTCTCTTTCTCTCTCTCTCTTTCTCTTTCCTTTCCTCTCTAAAATCAATTAACATACCTTTGGGTGAGGATTAAAATAAAAATGAATAAGTTTGATTCTAAGCATTCCACCTTCAATTCTATAATACTTTATATTAAAAACTTATATAAGCACAAATACAAAAAATATTAATTATGAAAACAAATACATTAAGGCTCCTTTTATATATAATATACATTCAAACAAGTCAAGATTTTTCAAAGTAGAAGAATAAAGTCAACTGTTACAGCTTAGAAAACAATGCTGCTTTATTACTAGGAGATTATAAAACATTGAACTAGTTTAAGAAAACAACAGAGTGGGAAAATGTAGCCATTTTTGTCCAAAAGTGGCTCAGAGCAAAAACTGCTTAGATGTTCATGAGTCCTACGGGTTTGGACTGTACAGTATTAAAGTGTGGGGGAGACTGATGCCTTTTTAACCTCGGGCCTGTGAGCTCAGCTGATCTGGTGACTTCAAAGAGCCTCTTTATGTGTACCTTCCACTGTTTAGTCATTGAGACATCACTGTATGTTATTTACAAGTCTTCTTTTGGCCATCCTTATAGTACTAACTACAAATAATTCTGCAGATTTGTGAGTGAGATTGGGAGGGAAATGCTTTTGTAACTTATTTTTCCCAGTGAAGGATGAATTCTAGGTAAGTTCTTGGTTCTTCTAAAGGACACTGTCAGAGCCCTTGAGAATTTTATCAAGTGGCAGAATTGTTTCAAGGACATAAGTCTGTGTATGAGCAGTCCTCAACCATCATTTTACAAATCACATCATTAGTCTATATGCACAAAGAAAATATTCCAGTCAATGTGCAATCAGAAATGTACTTTTCAAGATGAGGTCAGTTAATACTTTCTTCTTTCAAAAGAAAGAGCTATGGGAAAAATAGTTACCATTCCATCCTTCAAAAGCAAACTACTATAGAGCAGTATCTTATCTTAAGCACCTCCTATTTTATTTAAGTAATACTTGCTGATGAGAGAAATCATCCATTCCAGGTATAATCCACATGTTTTCAAACTTGCAGTATATGATCACTACAATAACCATGTTCTTTAAATTCAGCTCTGATGAACATACACCAGTAGAGGATGAGGAACCAAAGAAAAGCACCACTTCAGCTTCTACTTCAGAAGGTATGTTTTGTTTTGTTTTTTTTCCTCTGTGCCATTGAGTGACAGCTGCCACTGGCACAGTCCCAGGGCAAGGATGCACCCAAGGGCTTTTCTTTCAACACCAGCTACCAAATCCCGGCCCCACTGCCTCAGAAGGTATGTTTCAAATACGGAGCTTCTTTATTTACAAGTTAAAAAGTAAGTTTATAAATAGTTAAACATTAGACTTTGCTTTTCTTCAAATCGTCTATCACATACTCTTTTTCAGTATTTCAAATAAAATAAAATTAATACTCAGAAACACTTCTTTAGAAGTTAGTTTTTATTTGTATTCTCTGTAGAAGAAAGGAAGAAGAAGAAGAAGGATAGTCACTCAAAAGAAAGGTCCAAGAAAAGAAGGAAGAAAAAATCATCTAAAAGAAAACACAAGAATTATTCTGACGATAGTGACAGTGACTCTGATTCTGAAACAGACTCCTCTGGTAAGATGGTCACATCATTCTGCAAGCCTCACTTCAAAACTTCTTTTACATTTTAAAGCTCATTTCAGAAGCATGCTCTTAAAAACAACAATAACAGTCAAGAGTTTTTGGACACTTACTGACTTTGGGATGGGCACCCTGCTATGTGCTTGCTATTTCATCCACACAGCAACTGTAGGATAGTTCTTTGAGATGGGGAAAAGGAGGCATGGAGCATCACGGTCACACATTTGGGATTCAAACCTAAGCAGGGTGACTCTAGATTGGTTGTGTGCAGGTGTCCAAGGCATGTGGCACCGAACCAAGTTGGGGGTGGGGCTGCAAGACGTGGTACCAAACCAAGCCATACGGGACTGCCTCAGCCCAGCGGAGCAGCTCTTTTGTGTAATTCTCACACTCAGTGGGCACCTTTGTGCAATTTTCAAAAAGCCACACCATAAAGGGCCCCTTCAGGCTGGCAGCTCATTTAAGGAAGACACCCTGTGGGCTGGCACAGCACAAAAGCCACCTGTTTGCATCTAGTCCTGCCTGATGATTGGCAGAGGGTGACTCCTCTGGGGGACACACTACATAAAGGTGTCCCCCTCCTCTGATGTCACCTGGGTTTCCTGGCCCCCATTGTCACTTTTCTTCCTCACAGCTGGAAGACCCAACTTTCTTAAAGCACAAATCTGAGCATGTCAGTCCCCTTCTTAAAACCCTTGAGTAGTGCTCCATAGCCTTCACAGTAAAGTTCACACCCTGATTGATCCACTCTAATCACACATACCCTGTCACTTTCTCTCGTGATGTCCTCAGTTACAAGCCTGAGGACTACTTTCTGTCTCCTCCGTGTTCCATGTTCCTTCTCTCGATTTTGTTACTTGATGCAGATAATCCGTCTGCCTGCAATGCCAGTCTCTCCCGGCATGCGGCTTTGGCTTACTCATTGCAACAATGGGCAGGCATTACTTTTGTAATAGAACGGATTTTAAAAAGAGCTAGCTTAAGGGTCACCTTTGCGTGGTCAGCCATTCCTCAACCACCCTCCCCAAATCAGCCTGACTGTGAGACTCCTCTGTAGGCCTAGAGCACCCCGGGCTTCCTCTGTCACTCGGGATGCTGGTTATCTCTTTACCTCTGTCTCCTGCAATAGACTGTGCTGCTGGAAAGCATCCCCCCAAACACACACAAAGGTTTCTCTCTTTCCATCTTGAAAATACCCAAACATTCAGAAAAGTAAAGAGAACAGTATAGTACCATATGCGTATCACCTTGATTTTAACGATTGTTAGTAGTTCCACATGTTTGTTTCAAATACTGTATTTTGCCATGTGTAGTGGACACTTTTTTTTGCCCAAATTTTTGAGGGAAAAATAAGGGTGCACATTATACATGGGTATAATGATTACATGCCATGGGCATAATAATGCCATGTAAGATGCGCACAAGAATGTGGGTGCGCATTATACATAGCAAAATACGGTATTTTCTTGTTGTTGAGATAGTCGATATAAATTATAAACATCACACTGCCACTCTAAGGATTTCTGTATACATCTCTTTTATGACATTTTCCTACTTAATCACAATACTATTATTTCATGTGATAAAATTAATAATAATGCCCTATATCAGCAAATACCTAATGTGACTTTAATATCTGTGTCCCCGGTGCTTCGTACAGTGACAAGTAGCAATAAATGAATGAATTTCTGTGTCACAACAAATAGAACAGTGATGTGATATTTATGTACTCAAAAGTATTGGGGGGTCAGAGTTAAAATTTAATTTTTAAATGCTTTAATTTGCAGATGAAGATACAAAAAGGAGATCAAAGAAAGCCAAGAAAAAAGAAAAGAAGAAGAAACGCAGATCGTTGGTGTTTTTCTTCAAAATTTTTAAAGATTTTTATTTATTTATTTTTAGACAGAGGGGAAGGGAGGAAGAAAGGGAGAGAAACATCAATGTGTGATTGCCTCTCATGCGCCCCCTACTGGACACCTGGCCTACAACCCAGGCATGTGCCCTGACTGGGAATCAAACTGGCAACAGTTTGATTCTCAGGCTGGCACTCAATCCCCTGAGCCACACCAGCCAGGCCTCTTCAATTTTTACTATGGATAATTTTAAATACATATAAAATTATATAAAACAATGAAATGATCTCCCATGTAACCACCACCCAACTTGCACAATTACCAACTCATGGGCAGTCTCCACTGCCCCACCCCAGATTATTTTGAAACCAATCTCAGATATTATTTCATCAATAAACCAACATGTTTAAAAGATAGACATTCTTAAAAAAAAAATCATAACTACAATATTTTTATCACATCTAAAATATTTAACAATAATTTCTCAATTCTTAGCAGTTTCCTATAGAGTCTATTCAAATAAGGATCCAAGAAATGGCATGAATTGCCATAGGTTGACATGTCACTTAAGTCTCTAAATCCTCTTCTCTTTTTGTTCTTGCATTTTGTTGAAGAAACCAAATTATTTGTCCTGTATAGTTTCCTGCAGTATGGATTTTGCTGATTGTATTCCTATGGTATCCTTTTAACATGTTCTGTCCTCTGTATTTATAAGATAAACCTACCCTCATGACCTGTTGGGGTACTCTGAAGACGTTTATATAGGAAGGACGTGATAATTACTTCCTTTTTTTGTTTGTTTTATGAGTTTTCAGAATAATGAGCTGAGTTATTTTAGTATCATTATGAACCCAAGTATTCATACATGTTCGATGTTTTTTAATCCATTACATTTAAAATTATTGATGCTCAAATTGGTGTAGCTGTTTTTTTAGTGTGTTTTTTAAATATTTTATTGATTGTGCTATTACAGCTGTCCCATTACCCCCCTTCATTCCCCTCCACCCTGAAAACCCTCCCCCACCCACATTCCCCCCTCTAGTTCATGTCCATGTATCATAAGTTCTTTAATTTCTACATTTCCCATACTATTCTTGCCCTCCCCCTGTCTATTTTCGACCTACCATCTATGCTACTTTTTCTCTGTGCCTTTTACCCCTCTCTGCTCCTCCCACTCCCCTGTTGCTAACCCTCCATGTGATCTCCATTTCTGTGGTTCTGTTCCTGTTCTAGTTGTTTGCTTAGTTTGTTTTTGTTTTAGGTGTGGTAGTTAATCATTGTGAGTTTGCTGTCATTTTACTATACATGTTTTGTATCTTCTTTTCCTTAGATAAGTCCCTATAACATTTCATATAATAAGGGCTTGGTGATGATGAACTCCTTTAACTTGACCTTATCTGAGAAGCACTTTATCTGCCCTTCCATTCTAAATGAAAGCTTTGCTGGATAGAGCAATCTTGGATGAAGGTCCTTGCCTTTCATGACTTGGAATACTTCCTTCCAGCCCCTTCTTGCCTGCAAGGTCTCTTTGGAGAAATCCTTTGTAGGTTACTGTCTCCTTATCTCTTGCTGCTTCTAGGATTCTCTCCTTCATTTTTACCTTGGCTAATGTAATTATGATGTGCCTTGGTGTGTTCCCCCTTGGGTCCAACTTCTTTGGGACTCTCTGAGCTTCCTGCACTTCCTGGAAGTCTATTTCCTTTGCCAGATTGGGGAAGTTCTCCTTTATTATTTGTTTAAATAACTTTTCCACTTGTTGCTCTTCCTCTTCTCCTTCTGGTACCCCTATAATTCGGATGTTGGAACATTTATAGATGTCCTGGGGTTCCTAAGCCTCTCCTCATTTTTTTTTAATTCTTATTTCTCCATTCTTTTCTGTTTGGTTGTTTCTTTCTTCCTTCTGGTCCACTCCATTGATGTGGGACCCAGCTTTCTTTCCATCACTGTTGGTTCCCTGTGTATTTTTCTTCATTTCACTTTTATAGCCTTCATTTTTTCATCTAATTTGCGACCAAAATCAACCAGTTCTCTGAGCTTCCTGATCACCAGTGTTTTGAACTGTGCATCTGATAGATTGGCTATCTTTCAGTCGCTTAAAAGGATGGGTTCTGGGGCTTTCATTTGTTCTTCTGTTTTAGCCATTTCTTTTTTTGGGGGGGTGTGGGGGTCCAGTCACACCTATCACATATGAGGAGCAGAGCCTTAGGCGTTCACCAGGGCGGGGAAACCCAGTTGCTGAGTTGTGACGCTTATGTGGGGGCGGGGTCCAAGAGAGGACAACAGCGCTAGCTCCACTCTCAGCTGATTTCAGTCCCTTCCACCACTTCCCCCAAGCACACTGAGCCCTTCTGGTGCTGATTCCCAGGTGGGCGGGTTTGTGCACATTCTAGGACTTGGTGGGTCTCTCCAGCAAACTCTCCCGTGATGCTAGGAGTCTCTCCCTGCACCTCAACCCCCACAGGAATTTTCAATAAGTGCCCCAAGGCTCTATTTCCCGTCACTGGGACCCTGGGATCGCCTGGTTAGCCAGCCGCCTTGCAAGCAGTGCCTTGCTTCACAATCGCTGCCTTGCTGGGTCTGCCGGTTGCCACCCCTCGGCCAGGGTCTGCCAGCCGCCGCTAGCGCACACAGGGTCTTCCCGCAGCAGTCTTAAGTGCCCCGTCCCAGTGCTCATTGTGCCCTTGCGCCGTTTGACCCTTCTCCGCCCGGCTTCCCGACTCCGCCCCTCCAACCAGTCCGGATGAATGTGTCTATTTTTTAACTCCTTGGTTGTCCGACTTCCATACAGTTCAATTTTCTGTCAGTTCTGGTTGTTATTCTATTTCTAAATCGTTGTTGTCCCTATCTCGGTTGTGCGAGGAGGCACAGTGTGTTGTTTACCTACGCCTCCATCTTGGCCAGAAGTGGTGTAGCTGTTTTTTGAAGTGCTTTATTTCTGTTATCTTTCTACAACATGAGAACTATATTTCATTGTTCCCATTAGGAGTCTCTTTTTTAATAGGTAAACATGATTTGGTTAATAAGTTAGATTTTCAGATTAAAATTATTCTCTAAAAAGTTTGAATAAGCTGAGAATTCAATTCTAATCAGTCTTTTCATTGCCTTGAAAAATAATATGCCCTTTAACATGAGAAAATTAAGTCACTTTGTATCAAATTATATAATTACAGGAAGAAACACAAGAAAAAGAAGTCTAAGAAGAACAGAAAAGATTCCAGTGATTCAAGCTCTAAAGATTCCCAAGAAGAGTTTCTGGAGAATCCCTGGAAGGATCGATCAAGTAGGTCCTGATGATACACTTTTTTTTCATTATTTGAGTATTTATTACTCCAGTTCACTCTTGAACAACATGGGTTTGAATTGCGTGGGTCCACTTATATAAGAATTTTTTCCAAAAATACTGTAAATATATTTTCTCTTATGATTTTTTCTTTGTTTATTATCGACACTATTACACGTGTCCCTGATAGACTTTGACTCAGAACAGATAAAACATTAAATTAACCAATTAGTCAAAATGTGAATATGTTTCTGAACATCTTTTATGCAGAGCCTGAAGAACCCTCGGATTTAATTGGCCCAGAGGCTCCCAAAACACTCACCTCTCAAGATGATAAACCTCTGAAGTAAGTAACAGTGTATTTAAAATATCTAAAGTACCTCCTCAAAAGTATGGCCCTAACTTAACCTTTCCAAGCTTATTTCCCTCTGCCCCCTTATTTATACTTCAGGTTGTAGCTGAGCTGAGCGAAGTTTCCCAGTGGTTACTGTGCACTTGCCCACATTGTACCTTGTTTCCCTTATTTCTTCCCCCAATGTGCTTTCCCTTCTTTTTCCAGCCCTGTTTTCTTCACTACCTCTAATTTTTTCCTGGTAAAATCCTCACTATCCTTCAAAGCCCTTTTCAAAATGGGGATTAGGGGGCAGTATGTGCTGATTCCCAATACCTTCCCTCAAAAGTAGGTGTGATTCCTACCCTCTTTCATCCTTTAGTCCTCAAAGCATTTTCTATTTCTTTTGTGAAATGTATTATATATTCTACAGTGTATTGCAGTCATATCCTTATTAATATGTCAATTCCACAAGAACAGAGATTATTTTGTTTAATAGATATTTAAAAAGCATTCAGTAAATTGAGTGAAGGGACGATAGTTTTTAAAGTCCCCTTGAATGAAAGGTAGTAGATAATTGTTACTACATGTGTTATTATTGGTTATAAGGCTAAACAGTATGTTAAATTTGAGATATATTATTTCTTTACTCTTTTTCATGGAAAAGGGGTAGAGGAATTCACTGAAAGGAGCAGTAATGGCAGTACTTTAGGGATAAATTGATCCATAATTATAAAACATGAATCTATACATACTAACACCAGTTCTTTTGTTCTTCCAATGTATCTCTGCACTTCTAGATTGGTTACATAGGTCACAGGGCACTGTTTACTAATTAAATTAAAGTAATTCATGTTGGGCTTCCCAACATGCTGCCACTCGGCAACTGTTATTCCCACTGTTTGCTGAGAGTAAATGAATTTTTGTGCTCTCTTTAGATGATGAACTTTTTATAATGGACCTTTTCTGAATTCTGCATTCCTTTGTAGCTATGGCCATGCCCTGTTACCTGGTGAAGGTGCAGCTATGGCTGAATATGTAAAAGCTGGAAAACGTATCCCACGAAGAGGTGAAATTGGTTTGACAAGTGAAGAAATTGCATCATTTGAATGCTCGGGTTACGTAATGAGTGGTAGCAGGTATGCTCTTGGCATTGAAATCAGTTTCTGTATTAGATCATTTCCTTCTTTCCCACTACCAGAATTATATTTGGTGATTGATTCTCATTAAGTGACCATTCCTAATCAAAAGTAAAGTATAAGTATTGTTATAATATGGGTTTTATTGGTATAAATGTGGTTGTCTAAAATTCTGTGTATGCAACTCAGCCTCAGAATCAGTTATGTCAAAGAATCAGTCTTTCCACTGTCTTTTCTTATTTCATATTTTGGTACAGATAGTTTGTCCTATGGAGTATATAGCTAAATTCAGCTATTTATCACTGCCCCATGGGGAATGTAGCATGTTTCTAGTTAAGAAAGCATTTTCATAAGACAGTGTTTCCTGGTTTCTAAGTTTGCCTCTAGTTCTCTATGGACTCTGAGGATGAAGAGCAGAAAAGAATTATGACAAATATCAGGTTCAACATGGGAAAATGAATATAAAATTAGGGAAGAGAAATCAAAGTACCAAGAAAAACAAGGAGAATAAATAGGACATCTGTACCAAAATCAAACTGAAGTTTGGATTTTTGAAAACTGTCTATCACATTTCCCTGGCTGGCCTGGCTCAGTGGATTGAGCGCCAGCCTGTGAACCAAAGGGTCGCTGGTTTGATTCCCAGTCAGGGCACATGCCTGTGTTGCAGAGCCAGTCCCCAGTAGGGGGTGCGCAAGAGGCAACCACACATTGATGTTTATCTCCCTCTCTTTCTCCCTCCCTTCCCCTCTGTCTAAAAATAAATAAATAAAATCTTAAAAAAAACTTTACACAAAGTTTTAAAAGTAGATAAATATTTTAAAATAAAATTGAAAGCAAATATTGGCAGTACCTCTGAAGCAATTCCAGAATCTTAGAATTCAGAGGACCAACATTTGAAAACATTATATCTGAGGATCAGCACAATAAGATAAGAAAAAGAAATTAGAGACATAAGGACCAGAAAGGAGGATATAACAATATCATTTTTGTGAGTGATATGAATTGTTTATATGGAAAATCTTAAAGAATCTAGAGATAAATTATAAATAAGAAGAGGGTTTAACAAATGGTTGGATATAAGGTTAGTACACAAAAATCAATTGCATTTCTGTGTACCAGCAACAAACAACTAGAAAATGTAACTAAATAAAAAAGAAAATAACATTTATAACAGTATCAGAGAATATGAAGGACTTAGGAATAAATCTTAATAAAAGATATCCAGGAGCTCTACAGGGAAAACTATAAAATTATTGAGACATTTTAAAAGGTGGAAATAAATGAGATGTTTGTGGATGAAAGGCAATATTGTAAAGTTGTCAGTTTTTCCCAAATTGATCCATAGACTTAGTGCTGTTCCAGTCAAAATCACAACAGATTTTTCATGATACTTATAATAAGTTAGTTTTAAAATTTATATGTTAGACTAGATGGCCAAGAATAGCTAGGTCACTTCTGAAGAAGAGGAGGAAGATGACATTTGTCCTACCAGGTGTGAAGACTTATTAGGATGCTTCCAGTACACCAGAAAGTGTGGGGGTACAAATGAATTGTTCAATGGAATAAAATAGCCCAGGGACAGAGCCATACATGTATGGAAACTCAGTGTATGAAAAAGATGGCCTGTCAAATCACTTGGGAAAGAATAAACTATTCAGTAAATGCTTCAGGAAAAAATTGTTATCTATATGAAAAAGATGAAAGTAGAACCCTGTCTTACCATATTTAAAAAATCAGCACAACTAGATTAAGGACTTAAATGTCAGAAACCACTTTAACACTCTTAGTATAAAATATGAACAGATATCTATTAGATCTTGGGGTGGAAGCAGTGTTTTTTAAAGAAGACAAAAATGCAATAACCATAAAAAAAATTGCTAAATTTGTCTAAGTTAAAAGTAAGAACTTTTGTTCATCAAAAGACATCTTAAAATAAGTAAAAAGACAAGTTCCGAGCTGGGATAAGATCCTGCAATACACACAACCATTATAGAGTTAGCATTGAGAATGTTTAAATACCACCTATAAACAACCCAAAAGAAAAGTGGGAAAATGACACAAACAGGCATTTGTCCAAAGAAATATGTATGGTCTATAGGTACATAAAAAGATTTCATTATCATCGGAAATGAAAATTAAGAACATACTGAAATACTATTTTACATGCATTTGATAGACAAGAGTTCATAGTTCTAACAATACCAAGCATTGGAGAGGATGTGGATCTATAGGATCTCTTAAGTATTACTACAGGTGGTGTAAATTGGTACAGCCACCTTGGAAAACACTCTGCCATTATTTTGGCAAGTTCAGCATTCATATACTTTTATGACCCAATAACTCCGTACCTAGATACCCAAGAGAAAATCTTTCCCGCGTACTAGAAGACATTTACATAGAGGTTTATTACAGCATCATTCACATGGCACTTTCTGTTCCAGATAAACTACTCACTGTACCCTGAGCAACCTAAATACATTGTCATCTTCACTCTCCATCCTGCCACTCCCCAACTTCCACACTAACCTGAAATGGTTCTCCCCTCTTCTCACTCAGTTTTCTCTATTTTTCTAGACAGCTCAAGCTTCATCTTGAACTGATTGTATAGGATTGGGTACATATACATAAAAGAAGCAGGTTTTCATGAAGTTTTCCTGCTAAATAAGCAACCTTTTGAAGATGATGTAATAGTTTCCCTCTGCCTCTGCCCCTATACTTCCCTGATTTGGATCTTATGCTAAATCCCTTCTTTATTTTCTTTGAGCTGCTACTAGAGTCTAAGTACTCAAATTCAATTGTAGATGTAAACTTGGTTCTTTTCGTTGTATGAGAAATTTGAACTTTAAAGAAGTTCTACCTAATTAATGACAGCTTAAGTCTTTCATCTATCCTACTATCAATTTCACAAAGGCAAATTGCAAATATCACCTAGGAGGTTTAATAATTTGCCTGTTTCTGGTTGTTTTACTGGAGACAGCAGAATTAGCCTTAGGCCCTTAGTATTTAAAATTAATAGCTTTCACAATGTTTACAGAATATCAGAGATTATTATTTGAATACTAGAAATGAATCAAAGGACATGTTGGCAGATAAAATGAATGATCTTTTGAAAATATAAACCATTACGAAACAATTTCTGTCAGATTTTTTTAAAAGATTTTATTTATTTATTTTTAGAGAGAGGGGAACGGAAGGAGAAAGACAGGGAGAGAAACATCAATGTGTGATTGCCTCTTGCACCCCCACAACTGGGACCTGGCCCACAACCCAGGCATGTGCCCTGACTGGGAATCGAACCAGTGACCCTTTGGTCTGCAGGCCCACACTCAATCCACTGAGCCACACCAGCCAGGCCTCTATTTGTCAGATTTTTAAATGAACCACTCTGTATTAAGAAAGGATTAGTGAGGAAGTACTATGAGAATAATTACTGAGAAATTAAGCCAAAAATAAAATTATCCCCAGGCATCGCCGAATGGAGGCTGTGCGACTACGGAAAGAGAACCAGATCTATAGTGCAGATGAGAAGAGAGCTCTTGCATCCTTTAACCAAGAAGAGAGACGAAAGAGAGAAAACAAGATTCTGGCCAGTTTTCGAGAGATGGTATACAGAAAAACTAAAGGGAAAGATGACAAATAAAGATTTTGGGCTTGTTCTGCAGATGTTTTTAACAGAAAGTCTGGGTTTTATATATACCTACAAAAAGATTGTTATGGCCTGAAACGCTTTGCAGTGCTACTGTGCCTTCTATTTAATTCTTTCCGTCTTTCAATAAAAAGCTGCTTATTGATATAACATTAGCAAATTCTTTGGGTTATTTTGATTGACCATAAAACTTTCTGATTTAAAAATCCAAATTATGAATGAAATCCTACTATATTGGGTGAGGTGACATTGAGAGAAAATATCAGTGAGATGAGAAACTTAACTCTCACACCATGGGACAGTGCTACTCATAGCTCTACACAACACCTGCCCCCACCCCAACTGAACTGGTGGGAAATTACCATTACTCTATATTGAGTGTGTTATGAATGGACTTGATAGAAACATACAGGAGGCCAGTTTTGTCAACACAATGAAGGCGTTGCTGAAAAAAGCAAATCTGGAATTTTAAGATTGACTTTTATTATACAATATATAGTCTGCCCTGCGAATAATGTATTTTGGTTTTAGTCCCTGACGAATCCCCAAACCAGCAAATAAAACAAAAAGCAAACTAACCCACAGACTTGTTGAATTGAAAATGTGAACATTAGTTTTAAAAATTCTTAGTAGGTTACTTAAAAGTGTTTTTTTTTTCCAAATATAAAATATTGGAAAGTCTACTGTTGTGCCACTGTAAGTACATTATTTCCATCTAAGCTTTATGTAGATCATAATTTGAAAACTAGAAATTAATGGGAGTCAACTATGGTCAGTAGTTTAATAGGGAAAATAAAATGAATCATTATTTTAATTCAGTTGGTTTATAAGGATGAAGCCAAAATGATATCAAACATTTTGCCTGTCCTTTATGTAATAGGCAGATTTTATTTTAAATGTTGTTTAACCTTTCAGATTGTTTTTACATCTATGATTCAGTTTAATCTTTAACTTTGTATAGAACCCTGCACTTTATCACTTTTTTATTGTCTACTATTGACTTTTAAGTTTGGGAGAAATGGAAAATTTTGGGACTATGAGATTACAATCTTTTTCCTTACCTATGTCATTCAGTTTTAGTCATTAGGTCACAGGAGTGAAGGGAGGGGACAGTGGAAGTTCAGGTTGTTTTTGTTAAGGTTGTTTTGAGCTGCATTACTATTTTGTACCTAGGATAAATTTAAATTTACCTGGGTGATAAGGAAATTCTGACTCTGCTCTTATAAAATGCCCTCCTCTCTCCTTAGAATAGTTTATAAAGTCATTTTTTCAAAGTTTTAAAATAAGGCAGTCAGATTTCAAAGCATAAATCAGAATTTTACTATTTAGCATATATTCTAGGAAAATGTCTACCTTTAACGCACAACTAATGAACTAAACAACCACTTGGCATGTAGCAACATTCATGACCCCTGAATCTGAAGTGATTTCTATTTATAATCATTGCTGAGAAATCTGTTTTTTCCAAAAGTTAAAAGGAAACTAACTAGGTTCCAAATGTATGAGTTGTAATCCATCTACTTCCCTGTGTAATAAAACCAAAACTTTTAATCCCCATTTAAAAATTTTGTTCTGTAAGAATGTTATTTTTTGTTACTGGCTCCTAGAGCCTAAATGAGCCTATTCTCTTATTTTTAGTAGGCAAGATAGTTCAAATGCAACAATTTTGTGATACATGAATACTATGGATTTTTATCAGATTCTCCTGTCTCTCCCACAGAGCAGATACTCAACAAATGCTTGTTGAGTAATTGGAAGAAAATATATTAACTTATTTCAGAGCTTTACCATTTCTTTCATCAGTGTTTGTTCAGGAAAGATGTGCCAAGAACAGCTTTGATGGCATATTTTTGGGGAAGGGGGAAGAAAGAATAAAAGGGCTGAAAGTATTTTATTTTCAGCTCATGAGAGCTACTACTTCAAACTGTGTGCTCAGTCACCTGAGCCATAATTCTAATAGGAGGGCTGTTGTATTTGAAATACTACATTTTTTCTTCTCCAGGGAGACTTCTCTAGTTTCCCACCTCCTCACCTGTTGCTCTAAAATTTTCCTTCCCTTTTTATTTGTTGCATAAGTATAACAGTTAAAAAAAAGAAGAAAGAAAAACTACCCACATTCTTACCACATCAGCTGTCTTTAGGGTTCTGTGTTCACTTCCAGTGCTTGTCTATGTAAATATGTATTCTGATGTACCTATAAGTAATCACTCCTAATGTAATTTGTCTTTGGTATTTTAAAATTTTGCAGCCAGGCAAGACAGCCTCACAGGGATGGTAGGAACAATTGATAATCTGGTGTGAGGATGGGAAGAAAACAAAAAATAAGTGAGGGTGAAGACCGAGCCTTCCGTGTTTTTTTTGCCCCCAGTCCTGAAGCCACGCTGTTGCCATCATGATTGCGATGATGCCCAGTTTGAGCTTCAGACTGTGTGTACCAAGAAGGCTTACCTCACAGTAAATGAAGGGGTCTGTAAGCAGAGAAACCCGTCAGACTGACTGGTTATATTATGAGCCATAGAACCATTGCCGTTTTTCTGTTCCCCAGTTGTACCCATAAAGAGGTGTATCTGGGCTGAACACTTAGGCTCAAATCGGGGGACGGGCAGTCAAGTACCAATCTCTGTTGCTCTGACAGGTGAATTTTAGCAACTCTCTAAACTCAGCTTCTATACCTGTAAGACTGTGAGTGAGACAGATAGTGATGGGGAAACACTTTTAGAAAGTAGAAAACAACTTACTGGTTACTCTGTTAGCATGATGCAAGTTGCCAAATGGAAAATGAATGAATGCAAAAAAAAATACAGCTGGATTGTGTGCCACAAGTTTATTATTCAATAAATGTTTTGTGGTTTGATGTGCAGTATCGTATTATTAATACATTTGGATTAGGAATCCAATCCTAACACATTCTGTAAGAATCAGACATAATTGATTTCGGAGACAAATGGCTTTGCTAACTTATTTTTGGCCTCAATCATGTAAATCAAGCAGTTTTCTGGAAAGTGAGCCATTCCTGGTCTGCAGAGGAAGAAAAACAAATACACCAAAAGTTTTTTAAAATAAAAGAAATCATTGAGCCAAAGATTGATTCCCTGTTTACTTGGTTACATTCCTTGTGAGCAAAAAAGCCTTTTCAGGGTGAAGGGGTGAAGACTGTCTGTATCTATTCCTTAGGCCCAATCAATAAAAGAATTAGTGAGCTTGTATGTAAAGATTCTTTAAGAGAACTGCTATACAAATAAGAGGGCTTATTATATGTGAGTTAATTCCATGTAATTGTGAACTTTCCCATAGAAATAATGGACATGACCCACTTTACCCCCATCCTACTCCAGCAACTAACCCTCAAGTTTCTAGTCACTGAAAAATGAGACACTAAAAATCATCCCCCCCAAAAAAACCCCACAATTTTCTAGAACAATAGCAGTATCCTACTTTTAGTCCATCCTAATGGGGTAGGTGTCCAAACGAGAAAGATGACCATTACGTGAGTTATCTGTGACTGTGGGCCTGCTGGATTCCTGCAGTGTGATGGCCTTTATCTACCACTCACTTAAAATAACTCTCCAAATGTCCATTACCTGTGAAGCAGTGACTGGCCCTCAAAGAAGTAAGAGACATCAACGGGTGCATCCTAAGAAAGAAAAGGACAGTTGTCAGCCTAGACCAATCATACCAACTCATGATTCCTGCCATCTCTACACTTGTCCATATGTATACTCTTAAATTTCTAGAATTCATCTTCCTTGTGAATCAGGGGTCTGTAGGTGGTAACTCTTTGTCACTTCAAACCTCTATTCTCCAAAAGATCTTTTTGGCAACAGATATCTTAAGCATCGCCCCGACATTGGAAACAAGTCAAGAGAGGCTCATTGAGTAAGTCATTTACCTGCTTTACATGTTCCTGTTTACTCAACTGACAGTACTTGTTTTACCCCTTAGGAATGACACAAGAGTAAAATAATATAGATGAACCAGTTTGAAAACCTTTTTAAAACAGCATAACAATGTAGGCTATAATATTGTCTCAGTGGTCCCCACCCATTCTCCCCTCCAAAATTATACTCTGAATTCTGAGCAAAAGCCCTACTCCCAAGCCTTGTCTGTGTGGTCACTAGTTAATGCTCTTGCTTACCTTCCCCAGCCTTACTTTCCAGTCTCTGGATTTACCAGTTACCAACACAGCTGGTGGTGGGATATATGAATGGGAGAAGCAAGAGCTCCACATATTTTACCTATTTAGATTACTGTAGGTTCCAAACTCCCTGAATAGATGTTCGTACTAGAATAGCATGAATTGTAGGATATAATTAGCTCAGTATGTAGTCACATATAAAGCCTTAGAGTCAGACAAAGCTTCAAATAACTTTTGTAAAAGGATGGAAAACAAAGGGGACATAACATTTTTATGTCTGCTGTGTTCCAGGCATGCTTAGTATCAACCCTGGTCCTCTGAGAACCCTGCACCTGGATTCATGTTATTTTTACTTTCTTCACAGCAACTATCAACACACTTCATATTCATGATCTCCCTGCTGGCTACAAGCAGTCATTCCTTCAAGTATTTATTGAGTGCCTACTATTTTCTAGGCCTTGTTTTACAGCAAGGCAAACATCCTTGCCTTCATGGAACTCACCTTCTGGTAGGGAGAGCAGACAGTAACAAGATACATTATGTCAAATATCAGAAGGTGATAAAGTGTTATGGAGAAAAAGCAAAAGCATTAGCAGGTAGGGGAGTCGGGGGTTGAAAGTACAGTGCAGGAGGTGAGAGAGCAGACTAGGCACATATTTAGGGGAGAGTGTTCCAGTCAGAGGGAGCAGCAAGTGCAAGGGCCCTAAAGCGGGACTATATTATTAAAGAGTAGCAAGATCAGAGTGGCTGGAGAGAGAAGTGAGAAGGGAGAAGGAGTGGTGGGAAAGCAGAAATAACAAGGAGCTGGATCACACAAGGCCTTGTAGGCCCTTACTACTCAAAGTATACTCCGTGGACCCACAGCATCAGCCTTACCTGGGGGCTTGTTAGTAATGTAGAATCTCAAGCCCCACCTCAAACCTGCTGAATCAGAATCTTCCTTGGAACACGGTCCCCAAATACTTGCATGCACTTTGAAGTTTGAGAAACATGTTGGAACATGTTTAAATGGAAGAGTGACATAAATTCATTTTATAAGGGTCACTCTGGCTAGCTGCGATACTGAAGAAAGACATAATGAGGGCAAGGGTGGGAGCAGAAGGACCTGTCAGAAGGCCACTGAAATCATCTTGATGAGAGGTGATGCTGCCTTGCATCAGGGTGGTAGAAGTGGAGTGGTAAGAAATTGTTAGATTCAGGACCTATGTTTGAAGGTAGGGTCAACAGGAATTCCTAATGGATCAGATGAGGGATGAGAGAGAGTCACCAATGATGCCAAGGACTTTGGTCATCAACTGAGATGAGGGAAACTGCAGATTAGGTTTGGAAGGGAAAATTGGAAGTTCAATTCTGGATACAATAAGTGAGATGTTTTTTAAACATCATAGCGGCAGAAGTCTGTGCTGGAGTTATAAATTTGGGAATCAAAAGCTAGAGGTGGGCCCTGGCTCATGTGGCTCAGTGAATTGAGGGCCGGCCTGCAAACCAAAGGGTCACCGGTTGATTCCCAGTCAGAGCACATGCCTGGGTTGTGGGCCAGGTTCCCAACAGGGGGCGTGTGAGAGGCAACCACACATTGGTGTGTCTCTTCCTCTCTTTTTCCCTTCCCCTCTCTAAAAATAAATAAATAAAATCTTTTTAAAAAAAAAAAGCTAGAGGTGTCATTTAAAGCCAGGAGACTAGATATGATCATCAAGGCAATGAGTACAGATAAGAAGTCCAAGGCCTAAGTTTTGGGACATTCCAACATGTAGAGGTTGATGGGAGGAGGCAAAAACCAGTAGAGACTGAGAAGGAATGGCCAGTGAAGCAGGAGGAAAACCAGGAGAATATGCTGGTCTAGAAGCCAAGTTGAATGTTTAATGAAGGAGGGAGTGATCAGCTATGGCAAGTGCCGCCAATGGGCCAAGCAGAATGAGCACAGAAATACGACTATTAAGTTTTACAAAGAAGGGGCCATCGGTGCCTTGACAACAGAAGTCTCCATTTTCACTGAAGTCTCATCAAAGGAAACAGGGCAGAAAGGGTAGAGCTTACCGGAGGTTTGTTTTTGTTGAACTTGATGGTGAAGAAGGCATAGGCAGACTGTGGTATCATAGGCCTCTGAGCAGTTGGGAGGCTCCAGCGTACATAGTAGATGTAGTGGAAGCTGTGAACCACATCTCTTGTCTCTATCAACTTTGCGTAGCACACCAAGCAGTCTTGATACTTCCAAGTCTGTTTTATATTAAAAAAAAAAAAGAAAGAAAGAGCACACAGAGAAAGACAAACAGAATTCTGTTCAGGCCTCCGATAAACGTAGTGCACAATAGTAGCAGTTACAGCCCTGCTTCTGGAGTCCATTTCCAATGTTTTTGATTGGGATTCATAGTAGAGTTAACTCCCCATTATCTCTACAAGTGGAAGAGAGAAGAGGTGGAGCTGAAATGGAATGAGTGACTAATGCAAAGATCACTTGAGATTGGGCTTTGGACTTTACATTCTTATACTGAGATGTGGGTGTGTGCATATACACCACACACACATACACACTCACTTCCTTGTAGATCCTTACTTGGGAGACCAGTTTGGCTCATTAGAAAATCATTAGAAAGTGATTAGAACGTGAGGTCTGCTTACTGTACTCAGAGAGACCTAAAGGTGTGACTAGAAAATAATTTGAAGCTGATTTCACAAACTGTTTTTGAAAATCAGATTTGATTCATTGCATCCATAGGTGGTATATAAAATAAAGTCAGAAAAGGAATGAATCAGGCAACAGGATCTTCCAAAACCATCATATCCCTGTCTATACCTCTAGAGAAGCTTCCCCTCAAAAGTACAAATCTTATCAGCACCTAGGGTCCACCACAGAAGTCAGAGCAGCCCTGATTCTTAGAACAGGACCTTGAATGTTATAGGTAATTAACAAGTTCAATTCAACTGAAACCCCTTGGCTGTCTATTAGGGCACAGGACGCTTCCAAATCCAAAAAGATCCTGAATTAAGATGGAGGTCCACAGAAGGAAGGAAGTGGGATTGTCTAACAATCCCGCTGATGTGTGGAGGAAGTGTGGGAAGAAATGGGAAAATGATTTCAGGCTCTCCTTAGAACATTTTTTTTTAAAAAACCATTAGGCTGGCCTTCTGCCTTAGCTTCCTTTATTTCAGGCTTCTGCCCAATTGACTCTTTCAGTCAGCCAGAGAGGAGCACCAGACTCTAGATTCCTTGAGATTAGGGACTGTGACTTCCTACAGAAATCATCATTCCTTTTAATGAGGTTTGATAGTCATCCCCTTGAAGCCCATAGAAGCATGCCCTTTTCCCCAAACCTTCTATAGTATTTTTTTCAGCCCTAATTTTTAATCTGTCAGATAATGACAGACTTTGTAGCATTGGAATGTCCCTAGAGATCATCTGATGAAGCCCTTTACAGATGAGGATACCAGGGCCTAGAAATGGGTAAGGACAGTCCAACACAACAGCTGGGATTGGGGCCCCGGGCTCCCCAGCAGCCAGCTCAGTTCTCTCTCCACCCTACCAGATCTAAGTTCTAAGATTCTCTCCTCCTCAACTTGGTGTGTTAGTGGGGTTTTTTTCCCTTTTATAAACTAAGACAGCCTTGGGCACATTAAATTCAACTACCTCCATCAGGCCAATCTCTTTCCATTTTTACCACTGCACAGGCAGCTGACTTATGTAGTTCCAGTGGGTGTGTGTTTTCCTTGTTCTGCAATCTTTACATAACCTTGCTTCATATACTCGCTTCCAGGAAACAGTGTGTCATTATGTCACTCTGCCATGGATGGCTTAGCCCATTACAGATTGGACACTCAAAATCAGCAGGCACTGGAAGTATATGCACAAAACTGTTATCAATGGCAAGTGACCTTCGAGTGAGTAGAACTGGGTATTGTGGGGGTGAAGGGGTCACTCATTTTATACCTTGTGCCTTTTTGCTCACTGGGGATTTTTATAATGATGTTTTATTTTTATTATAAAAATAATGTCAACTGTGTGGTAGGCCTTGGGGATTTTCCAGTTTTCTCCTATAAGGAACTTATGTGTCTATTCTTGTTGCCAGGTTATGTTCCTGAAGAGAATAAACCAATTATTGTGCCTGCTGTCAATGTGTAAGTGTACATATTCCCTCCCCACAGACACACAAGCCTTCTGACACCAGATGGAACCATTCTTATTCACACCACAATACCTTAAAGTCTCTTGAATTTGCATTTTGCATTGATAGTAAAACTCTGCGGGTTTTTTGTCATCAACAATTCCTTTTCCTATTGTGGTGGGAAAAATCTATCAGACAGACCTATGATCAGAACTTGATTTTCTGCTTAAACACAAAGAATTTGGACATATTGCCCAACTTCTGCAAGCCTCAAGGTTCCTCATCTGTAAAATGGATACACTGATGTACCTGCATTCAGGTTTGTTGTGAGGATTAAGTGACATGATGCACATGTAGTGCTCAGCAGTGCTTGGCACATAGCAGTGTTCGGTAAATGGTAACTCATTTGCCATCCCCTGGTGTGTGGTAGACTCTGGGACATCTGCACGAAGCTTGAGAAAGCTCTATCAGAAACACCTGACACTGAGATGGTAGATTTCAATTCACTGCATTACTGGGGCTGAAAACAGGGTGATTTGATGTCAGGAGTTATGTAGAGCTTTTAGCTTTTCAGTCATGTTCTAATTGTCTCTGTCCTCACAAAAGCCCTACAAAGTAGGAAAGCTTGCCCTGGTCAGTGTGGCTCAGTGGGCTGGGCATCATCCCATAAGGCAAAAGGTCACCAGTTCAATTTCCAGGCAGGGCACATTCCCGGGTTGCAGGTCAGGTTCCAGGTCCCCAGTTGAGGATATGCAAGAGGCAATTGATCGATGTTTCTCTCCATCCCTTTTTTCCTCCCTTCCTCTCTCTCTAAATAAAATCTTTTTAAAAAACAAAGTAGCTAAGCTCTTCATCTTCAAGAAATAATGGTACAGAGAGAATAAACCTGTTCATGTATTTAACATTTATAGAGCGCCTATAGAGGCTGGTGATAGAGAAATGAACAGAAGTCTCTGTCCTCATGGACCATATGCTCTGGTGGTAGAAGAAAAGCAATAGAGTGGATAAGTAAAATCTAATATCTTAAGTAGAGCTAAGTACTAAATAAAAAATAAATCAGACCCCCAGCTGATGTGCCTCAGTGGACTGAGCACCAGCCTGCGAACCAAAGGGTCACCGGTTCGATTCCCAGTCAGGCCACATACCTGGGTTGGAGGCTGGGTCTCCAGTATGGGGCGCATGAGAGGCAAGCACACATTGATGTTTTTCTCCCTCTCTTTCTCCCTCCCTTCCCCTCTGTCTAAAAATAAATAAAATCTTTTTTAAAAGAAAAAATAACAACAAAAAAATCAGAGAAGGAGAGAGGGTTGCAATTTTAGATGAGGTGGATAGGAAAGGCCTCAATGAGCAAGTGGCATTTAACAAAGATCTGAAGAAAGGTAGGGCATGAACCATGAAAATAGATCTCAAGGGAGAGTATTCCCTGCAGAGGGGACAGTAAGTGCAAGGGCCCTGAGGTGGAGACATGCCTGGCAGTTGAACAGCAAGGAGGCAAGTGTGGCTGGAATAAGGAAGGTGAAAAGGGAGAAGGTAGTAGGTGATGGAGTCTGAGCAGTAAGCTGGGAGGGAGGAGGGGACTCAGATCACATTGTGTCCTGTAAGACTATTGTCAGGACTTACATTTGCCTTTTGTTCAGAATAACCAGTGAGATTTGCAGGGGAAATTTTTCTTGCTTATTTTGTGTCCCATTCCAGTCTGATTCACAAACCCTGGGTGTAGCAGGCAAGGACTTTTGCCCAAATGGAGATGTGCTTCAGAGCAAGAAAGACGAAGAGTAAATAGTATTTGGCACCATTTATCTTCACTATGCTCCAGATACCCCTTCTAACTGGAATGGTGAGTTGTGCCCACTGGAGTATAAACAAAAGGTGTGAAGCCAGAAATCCCTGACCTTTCCTCCTTCTCACCTGACCAGGGCTGCCTAGAGTGTAGGGTTCTTAGGGCCATCACTCTGGTGGGCTGACCAGAGGAACAGAGACAGCAGGAAACTTCTCCCAGGGCTGGGAGTTGCCTCCACCAATTTCACCTGGTCTCTCTTCTGGGGAAATACAGTGAGTGGGGACTCTGAGTCATGCTTCTTTATCCACCCACCAGTTATGCAAAGCAACCCAGGACCTTTTCACCAGAGCTGTCAGGTTAAGCCACATGAATGGGTCAGAGTCAGGCACAGGTGGAAAAGAAGGAATTCACTGGCCTGTGCATCTGAGTGTGCAAGCAGTATGTTCCAAAGGTACAGCAAAAATACTTGACCCATGAACATCCCCTCTGTTAATACTGAGAATTCTAAAGTTGCTGTTGGAGAACTCTTGTTTGAGAAAAGACATTCCCTCCTTAGGCCAGTAGGCCCCCATTTAGAGCACCAGATGGGAAAAATTGCTTAATTAGGAATATCAGATTTTCCCAGGAAAATATAAGGAGAGGATGATACAAGCACAGGGAAATAACAATTGTGCTTTTCACCTTCAAAGACTATTGCATCTTGATTTTGGAATGCAGATGAAGACATGTAGTTGCCTTTGATATCATCTCCTAGGGATTCTGGACTTTAAACCTGCCATCAAAGAAGAACCTTTTTATTGTTCTTTGCCCTTGTACACCAAGCTGGAGTGGTCAACAAACTTACCCTAACGAACTCCTCAATTTGTACACGGCACTTTTCTGTTGTGAATTCACCATGTGTGAGCCATTTGATATTTTCAATGGGGTAGTCATCTTCTGCAAAAAAGGTGTGAATTTGTTAGTTGCCTGGTAGTGTGACATTATATTACAAAACAGTCCTTTAGGTACCCAAACAGAATTACTACCTTGCACAGTCTGAACAGCAGCAATGATGGCACTCTGAGCTAAACGTAGAGCTACTTCAGTCACCTCGCCATCATTTGTATGCACTGCTGGTCCAGTCACGTCACTCTGTTCTGTGGGCACTGCTGGTCCAGTCACATCGCTCTGTTCTGTGGGCACTGCTGGTCCAGTCACATCGCTCTGTTCTGTGGGCACTGCTGGTCCAGTCACATCGCTCTGTTCTGTGGGCACTGCTGGTCCAGTCACATCGCTCTGTTCTGTGGGCACTGCTGGTCCAGTCACATCGCTCTGTTCTGTGGGCACTGCTGGTCCAGTCACATCGCTCTGTTCTGTGGGCACTGCTGGTCCAGTCACATAGCTGTCTTCTGTGGGCATTGCTGGTCCAGTCACACCTCTGTCTTTTGTGGGCATGGCTGGTCCAGTAATATTGCTGTCTTCTGTGTGTGTTGCTGGTTTAGTCACACTGCCATCTTCTGTATGCATTGCTGGTAGAGTCGCTTTGCCATCTTTATGCCTTGCTAGTTCAGTCATGTTGATATGGTCTGTATGCGTTGTTGGTAGAGTCAGTTTGTCATCTTTATGCTTTACTGGTTCAGTCACATTGGTGTCTTTTCTATACATTGCTGGTAGTGTCAATTTGCCACCTTTATGCTTTGCTGGTTCAGTCACATTGGTGTCTTTTCTATACATTGCTGGTAGAGTCACTTTGCCACCTTTATGCATTGCTGGTTCAGTCACATTGTCTGTATGCGTTGTTGGTAGAGTCAATTTGTCATCTTTATGCTTTGCTGGTTCAGTCATATTGATGTCTTCTCTATGCATTGCTGGTAGAGCCACTTTACCACCTTTATGCATTGCTGGTTCAGTCACATTGCTGTTTTTATCCACCAATGGGATTGGGGGATGGTTATGCACATATACTATTTTGTTAAATCTGATAGTTCTCCCCTTCTTCATTTTCTTTTGGCTGGAAAAAGAAACTCAAGAAGTTACCTTGTGTGTGTGTGTGCATGCACATGAGCAAGTACACATTTGTATAAGTACAGACTATCTCTTGAATAATCACAAGAGACAAGAAATGGTTGTTTCCTCTAGGAAAGGGTTTAGGAGCTTGGGTGGGAGTGAGGCCTCACTGTTTCACTTTTGTGCCTGGCCACTGAGATCTACTTTTCCTGGAAACCAAGGACTTTCAGATTCATATTACTATGAAGACTTAAGATGTAGTAGAATGATTCCTAACTTCTTTGGAGTTCTAACAATACTGATTTCTAGTTGAGTCTTTAATAGAACCTCAAACCCTGCTTTATGTGACTGAGAGCACATAGCTATTTAAAGTGAATGAAAATAATTAGAGGCAACATGGGGGCGGGGGGTTCTCAGGTTTTTCTCTTGGATTTTACAGGTATACAATTATGTCATCTGCTAGAAAGTATCATTTTTTTACCATCTCTTTTCCTGAAATATGTATCAGTTTTGGTTAATGCTTCCAGGAAAGTGTTAAATGAAAGTGGAGATAAGGAGCATCCTTCCTTTGTGTCTGACTTCAATGGGCATATGCTTTCTGGCATTACACCAGCTGGTTTATGGCTTCAGATTTATCCCATCAAGGAAATATTTGTCTGCTCCTGTTTTAGTAAGGTATTCATCATAAATGAGGCTAATATTTTCCAAATGCCTTCTACATCTGTTGAAATTGTGAAAATTAGAGTTATCAGGGTTTTGAAGGGCTCATCATTGAGCTAGGAGTCTTTGTACACTTTTCATATTTTTTCAGTCTTTTCTCTTGAGTTGTGGCTTCTCTTTCCCTGCTATATTTAAGTCTCTTCACTTAGAAGAAGTTACTTACTTCTAGCACAGTTATAAATTCTTTGCAGGCAATCCGTGCATTGGGGGTGCTACAGGAAAGTGGGTCTCTGTCTCCTAAGGCAGCTATGTATTTTTCTATAAATAGCAACTCCCAATTTGGGGGTGCTTAGTGTGCCTCAACTCTCACCACAGCCCTGTGAGATCATGTACTACCTTTCATTGGCCCTTCCAGATCTATTCTCCCCCATCTTCCCTGCTCTCTACCCTGGAAGGCTGACCCGGCTGCACTCATCAATGAATGGGCTTTCCCATGCCCTGTCTCCCAGGAGGTTCCACACAATGGGGAGACGAGGCTGAACGAAGGAGAGTGAGGCTGAGGTATATATTCCCCAGGGGGCTGTCCCCCAACGGGGTCACCTGTGGCTGGCTGTGTGGGGAAGGAAGGCCCCTGCTTCTCCCAGGGCAGCTCTCACAACTTCTCAGTCTGGTATGGCCCCACTATAACCAGCCCTGGAGCGCTGTGCTTGCCTTTCTTGCCCTTGTTTCCCCACTGTCTGCCCAGACCTTTGTAAATATTCCCTTAACCCTTCTCTACCTACCCTACTTTTAGTATGCCACCAGTTTCCTCCTGAGACCCTGGGTCATAAAGGGAGGGACTCTTGTTCCCATGCGAAAGGAATAAGCGAAGCTCACACCCAGACTGTCCGGCTCCACAGCCCGTGCTCTTAACTATACTGCTATCCTCCCTCCAAGATTCACAGAGTGTTGGGGACCTGTTCCATCTGGAGTCCAGAATGTTCTCATTCTGTGCATGAGCCTCTTTCAAAAAGGGTCGACCTTTGCTCCCTTTCTCAGTGTCATCATTATTCCCAGGGCATGGTGAGTAACTGCACAAGGCAGCCCTGTTCCTGTGCAAGAATGGTTGGGACAGCCCTTAAACATTCTGGTAACAATGCTGACTCGTGTTCATTTGGGTCTTCTTATGAGCATTTTAGGCTCAGTCTTCCTCTGCCTCAGTTCCCTATTGCTGCAGCTGAGGAGTGGACAGGGCCATCTGCTGGGGGGAAATGGAATCCTCCCAGTCTGCCCATTCTAGAGTGACGAGAGGCTGAATGAAGGGTGAGGGAGTCTTTAACCTAGCACCACTGGTTTTCCCCAGCCCGATTTGGACAAAGGGATTTGGTGTAAACTCCGTAGGTAAAGACAACAATAGTGGTTTTTGGTAAATTCAGTGTGCTTTAGTGAGTCCACACAGTAACTGGATCCTTCAGAAAATGGCTCATTTGGTGACTTGGTCATTCAGTGACTTGGCTTTCAGCAAATTCCCTCTGGATGAATTGACTGGAAGCCGAATGTATGTCTCCCAACACAAAGCAAATGAACTTGGGGCTTTATCCATGGAAGCACCTCTTTAAGACCTTCCCTAAGGGAGCCCTGTGCTACAGCAGGATCTTATCCACATACATCCCTGAGCGCAAATCTTTCTTAAGCGTCCCTCTGACTGGCCTCTCCTTTTTGTGTCCTCCCACCCTTAACAACCCCCAATACCTGAGTGACCAGATCCTTGTTGGAAATAGCGGTAGCCAGGGAAGCCTCAGAAAGAGTCTCTCAGCAGCTTTTCTCCAGGATTCCCAGACGGAATGTTTACAAGTGCTGCCATGGAAACCCCAGTTTCAACCAATGGGAAACAAAGCCCAAATAAGAACTCTGGCCACTTCTGTTAATAACCAATGGGAAACAAAGCCCCAGTGAGAACTCTGGCTACTTCTGTTAGTAAAGGAAGGGGCTAGTCAGGTAAAGCAACAATTTGACTTCCAAAGCAGGACCAAGCTGTAGTGTCCATACCCAGCTTCTCCCCTGCAGGAGATGATGAGTTTACAGGGCTGCCACAGCAAGGATAGCAAAGCAACAATGAGCCTTGCAGTCACTGTGTGGAGGACTCAGTATGTGTTAAATCATTTACTCCTCATCCTCATAGCAGCCCCTGAGGCACAGAGAGTATTGAAGAACTTGCCAAGCCCTGGCTGCCCTGGCTTCCCTGGCTGGTGTGACTCACTGGCTGGTGTGGCTCAGCTCACTTGGAGCATCATCCCATAAACCGAAGGGTTCAGTTACTGGTCAGGGCATATGCGTGGGGGTCAGTCCCCCATCAGGGTACATATGATACAAGGAAGCCAGCCAATTAGTTTATTTATTTTGAGAGAGGGGGGGGAAGGGAGGGAGAAAGAGAGGAAGAGAAACATCAATGTGTGGTTGCCTCTTATGTGGCCCCCAATAGGGACCTGGCCTGCAACCCAGGCATGTGTCCTGACTGGGACTCGAACCGGCAACCCCTTTGGTTTGCAGCCCACACTCAATCCACTGAGCAGCCAGGGCCAATGTTTCTTTTTCACATCAATGTTTCTCTTTATCTCTTCCTCCCTTCCCCCACTCTTTAAAATCAATAATCATGTCATTGGGCTAGGATTTAAAAAAAGAAGAAGAAAAAGAAGTTGTCAAAAACTCAAACCCAAAGCTGTCCAACTTCTTGACTGAGCTTTTTGTTTATTATTTATTCCCAAATTCTGAGGTTAGGACCTCCCTCTGTGCTTAATTATTTTCAAAGATTGTCTTTTTTATTGATTCACATTAAAAAAATAATAATTTGAGGTAAAATTCACATCACATAAAATTAACCATTTTAAAGTGAACAATTCAGTGGCACAGTATATTCAGTGTTGCTTCCCCCACATTTCAACATCTCCGAAATGGGGGTTCATCATATAATCAATGATATATTATGATTTAATTCAGGGGTGTCCAAACTTGTGGCATCTCTGGGCCACACTGGAAGAAGAAGAGCTGTCTTAGACCACACATTAAGTACACAAACACTAACAAAAACTGATGAACAACAGCAAAAAAAAGGTCTGTACATAATTTTCATGATATCCACCACCACAGATAAGCAAAAAAGTCCTCATATAATAACCCTAGTTATGCAGCAGCTCTTCTTATAGTATTTTTTAAACAAATATTTATTTTCAGAGAAAGAAAGGGAGAGAAACATATGTGAGTGGTGACTCTCGCATGCCCCCAACTGGGGACCTGGCCCACAACCCAGGCATGTGCCCTGACTTAGAATAGAACCGGTAATAGAACAGCCTTTGGTTCACAGGCCAGTGCTCAATCCACTGAACCACACCAGCCTGGGCCCTTTTGTTAATCTTTTAAAATCGTCGAGCAGGTTCCCATGTTTATGATCACTAATATAGAAAATGTACTTGTCTAAGTAATGAATGTCATTGATTTTTTAAAATATTTTTATTATAAAAGAAAAGAGGGCAATATAAAACTAGTGGGATGTTTGACATTGTATTTGAGAAACTAGTGCATCCATACCTGGTTTGAGAGAAGTAGTTGCAGTTCTCAGTGAGTTCTCAAGGTGCTCTTCAGATATTTTGGTTCTGATTTTACTTTTAATGTGGTTCATTCTTGAAAATAGTTGCTTGCCAATGTAGGTGCTGCCAAATAGCGATGACATGAATAAGGCACAATTGTGAAGCAAGGGATATTTGTCCCTGGGAAGATAGGACCTATAAAGTCCACTAAAGAGACATGACCAAATTTTTCTTTAAGTTGAATGTCAGATTGCAGCTCTATGCATTCCACTTGAAAATTGGCAGGTAACATATTTATGTCGGCTGAAAATGGAGTAACAAATATAGCAAAATATTACTTTCCCAGAAATCTTGAAATCTGTTTTCAAATTCTTGTATCAAATCAAAAAGCAAGGCTGCATATTTTTTGCTGTTCACAGAACTGTTTAGCCAATGTGTTGAAATGCATAAAATTATTTGCCTTAATTTGAACTTGCCATAATTTCAGTTTCATTTGGAACACCGTTACAGTTTGAAACAGAGTATTGATAAGTCAGTTTTATCCTTGAAGATGTATATTTAACTCATTTAAATGAGCAGTTGAATCCACTAAACATGCTAAATCCGGAAGCCAGTTTTCATCATCAAGTTCCAGCACAAATTTGCTTTTTGAAATCATGAATGACTTGATAACATGTCACAAACTAAAATCTTTTCAACATTTGGCCTCGACTTAGCCATCTTACATCCAAAAACTAAATGATGTCTCCATAGTCACCATCTGTACTTTTAAGGAATTCCTGGAATTGGGGATGATTCAGTCCCTTGGCTCTTAGGAACTTCAGTCTTGATGATAATTCGCATGTCATTATCCATTTTTAAAGCTTGTGTGCATAAATTTCCTTGATGTACTATGCAGTGATACTTCATCAGACATGAGTTTTGGGTGGCAATTGCATCATCTTCTATTAATTTTACAAACCCCTCTATTTCACCTGCTATCACCAGGGCACCGTCAGTAACTATACCAGACATGTTGACAATGGACAAAGAAAATCACTTTAACATATTTTTTACTGTTTCATATAAATCTCTTGATTTAGTTGTATCTTTTAATGGCACTAAAGATGCCATTTCTTCAGTGACATCATATCCGTCATCAATACCTCTAGTAAAAATGGCAGGTTGAGCCATATCTGTAGCATTAGTGTTATCACCCATCACCAAAGCATAAAATTCAAAATTAGCAGCTTTACTCTCCAGACTTCTTTCAATAGATTTTCCAATTTCTTCAGTTCTCCTGGCAAGACAAACTGATTTTAGAAATAATCCCCATTTTTCAGGGCAAATTATATCTGCCATGCTTTTTATGCATTGCTTAATAAACTCACCATCAGTAAATGGTTTTATTTTTTATATATATATATTTTTTTAAGATTTTATTTGTTTTTATTTTTAGAGAGGAAGGGAGGGAGATAGACAGAGAGAGAGAGAGAAACATCAATGTGCGGTTGCTGGGGGTTATGGCCTGCAACCCAGGCATGTACCCTGGCTGGGAATCGAACCTGAGACACTTTGGTTCCCAGTCCGCGCTCAATCCACTGAGCTACGCCAGCCAGGGCTTATTTTTTTTTATATTAAATATGCTACCACATAACTATCTTTTACAATGGAATCCACCCGAGTCATAACTTTTTGAAAGAATTTTTATTGAGAGGACAGACTTTTTTCCACTATTTTGTCCTTACAACATAATCCTTCATATGCCTTGAATCCAGCAGCATGTTTTTGTATATAATGCCTTTTCAAGTAATAGTCTTTGAAAACTTGTACAGATTCCCTACAACTTAAGCAGAGTGCCTTACTGTTTGCCTTGACAAAAAAGTAGGCATCTGTCCACTTTTCACTGAACAATCTTCTGAAATGTTGTAGAAACCATGCTGGGATTAAAAATAATAATAATAGATAGGGACTTTATTTACATTTATTATAAAAATTAGCCTGGCTGGTGTAGATCAGTGGATTGAGCAACTAGAGGCAACTACACATTGATGTTTCTCTCCCTCTCTTTCTCGCTCCCTCTCTCTTTCCCTCTCCCTTCCCCTCTCTCTAAAAATAAATAAGACCTTTTTAAAAAATTAATTGACAGGGAAATAGACAGCAAGGTTTGGGCCCTTCCACAGCCTTCTCAGCATCCAATGCAGGGCGGAGCAGAGGGCTGACTATAAAGCGAGATGAGCAATGTGTGAGGCGCTGCTGAGGTGTGGAAGTACCTTTAATAGTCAAATAAGAATGCTTATATGACTTCTAAATAACATTAAATGTCTAAGGTTGCAATGGTAGGTTGAAATATTACTGATGACCACTGTCTCACTAAGCCAGCATGAGCACATGTAACGTCTGATGGTGTCAATTCTACTGTCTGCACTTGGAAGATAACACACTGGAAGCTTCACACCACTGTAAAACTGAAGCCGCACATGTGTACAAATAGCAAGAGAGTATGTACATTTATTTTACATGACATTATGATACATAATCACAAAAAAATCTCATAATGTTTTAATTTATGACTTTGTGTTGGGCCACATTCATAGCCATTCTGGGCCGCATGCAGCCCATGGGCTGCAGGTTGGACACCCCTGCTTAAATGCTCAATAAACATTAGTTATCACAATCATGATGATGAAAAGACTCACCACAAAAGACAGAACCTGAAACAAATACAAAGTACTATGGAAAGTAAACTGTAATTGAAAAACAAAGTAGAGAAGTCAGAGTCCGCCGCTTCCCCAAAGCTGGAGAAATTTGCCTGTGACAATGGGGGCAGGTGTGTCTTAAGCTCTTGCTGTTTAGGCCTAACACCCAGCAGCCAAGCCAGGAGGAGGAGGACTTGTGTGGACACTGTCACTGGTGAGCATGCAGGTTCCAGAATGCCATTGATGATGGCCTGAGTTCTCTTCACTGGTCTGACTCCCACACAGCCCATCAGAGCAACTGCTAGGAAACTTCTAGTGCCACAGCAGGCCCAGATCCACTGCCCTGCCCTGCCCTGCCCTGCCCTTCCTCTAGGTTACCTGCAAGATGGGGTCAGGGGAAGCTAGAAATAGTAGGCCCCTACTGCCAAACTTTTGTGGGCAAGGGCATTAAGATCTTTCCTAAGAAGCCCTGAGGCCATTGGTGAGAGGCCCAGGGTGAGGACCTGGCCTGGGAGGGCTGCCAGTGGGATTCTTAATTGCCTAGGGGAGACATATGTAGGCAAGTGATGAGAAACTCCTTATGGGCAAAAATGCTTTCATGACACAGGAGGTGGGGGGAGCCAGGAGAGATTTTTAGAAAGGCTGCTCTGTGAAGCAGGAACCTAAACTCCCCTGGGCCAAAACCTTACGTCCCAGCCAAGGCCCTCACTGAAGCGACAAACTGTGGCCTCCAGGTGTTCCAGACTAGAGGCCTTTTGAACGCAGAGGCAACACTGAGGACAGGTTCTTCCAAACCTCACCCTGCTCTGCCCAGTGCAGGTAAGTGTGGAGAGGTGACTCAGAAGACCCCAAGAGGAACGGGAGAGATGTGAGGAGCAGGTGGGGCCACAGAGGAAGAGCTGGCCAGAGGCTTGCGCAGCCCAGCCTCATATTTCTCAGGAAGGAAATCAACTCTACAGGCTGTGAAGCCCCAGTCCCCACCTTGATGCCCCAGCCCGCCCTGAGCCTCCCCTATTGTCAGGGAGCCCTACCTCCCCGCACCTCCAAGCCCTCACTCTTGGCCCCACATGTGGGTCAGCAATGTGCCTACTATTCACCAGGCAGCACGGAGCCTGTGCACAAAGATGAACCACTGCCAAATGCTGCAGGCCTTCAGGACAATGCTTAAGGAGTCCCTTTCTAGACAGAATACAGGTCATCCCTGTGAGTGTGCTGTGTGTCATATGTGGTCCTGGGAGATAGCCCGGCCTTCCCACTTGGGCCCCTAGGCTACCTGACTGGACAGACCCTGGGGGTAGAGGACAGGGCCTCACTTGCTCTGAGTGCCAAGATGGGGGTGGGGGTGCAATTTTGTAAGATGGATATGGTGCTCACTGGGGAGAACTGTATTTGAAAGCTTTACAGGTCTCAACACTGTTGGCTTCTTCCTGAATCGCAGACAGTTGGGGAAGAGGCCTCTAGGCAGAGGTGACTGATGGCAGAGCACAGAAAGTGGGGCCCTCTCCTGCTGCACAGCTCCACGCTTACCACTGCTGGGCAGATCGCAGGACCAGGGTCCCTGTTGGCCTTTTTGTTGGATGAACAATCGCTGGGGCCCAGGATCAGGCAAGGGAGACTCTGAAGGCCTTCCACCTGAGTACTATCCATTTACTCCTTTCCTCATCAGTGAGTTCCATCACCCCAAGTGCTCTGCTCTTCAGGTGCCTACAGAATCCTGTCTTGGGACCAGGAAATGTCTCGCACCAAGTATGCCTGCCCCTGGCCAGTCACAGAATTTATTCCTAAGTCTGAAAGAAGGTGGTGACACCCATGGGTTCTCAGCCAAAAGGAAAAAAAGATACTGGACCTTTGTTCCCGGTGGGGGAAACCCCTTAGTTTTCTACAGGAGCAGCTTGCTGATCCACATGGAAGCTTGCAAAGCGGTGTCCTTGAGACCCAAGTGCCAGGTGGGGCCAAGCACATTGGCCTGAACCAAGTGAGTGTGTATGAAGTAAATGCCAGGTGCACATATTTCCTCTGCACACACATTTACTATCAACAGATGGTCCTCCTCCTCTGCCCCTTCCTTCCCTTCCCCTTTTATAACCATTTCTTGCAAAGGGTCCAAATTATTTCCACATATTCCTGGTCTGATGATTTCCTCATCCAAGTGCAACTTTTCATTTCCTATTTCAACCTCTGGCTCCTGAGCTGAGTTCTACTGGGGAACTGGCCTGTCCCTGCACATCTTCCCGTGTAAGGGAGACCTTCGCAGATGGCTGCCCAATGGGTAGGCAGGTCACAGCCACCATAGCGAGTAACTCATATTTATGTTGCATAAGATTTGAATTTGTATAATTTTGTGATTTATTTTGGCATTGTTATGAGTTTGACTCTTGGGGAGTTTTGTTGTTATGACTTGTTTCTTTTGTCACAAAACAATGGTATTTGCTAAACAATATATGGAATTTATTTTTGATTGGTACTGAAAAAATGAAATGGAGAAAAAGTGGGGCCATCTCTTCAGGGATTCCACACCCTGGGCCTTGATTTATATTTTTTCCTACCTGTTTCTTTTCAGTCATGTTCATTCCCTCTCAGTTCCCGCCCTCTCCACCTTTGTATCCTCAAGCTCACCCTATCAGCCCCTTCCCTTATTTATCTTCTTATATTCTTTTACCCTTTCCTTACTCTTCCTTCTCCCTGCCCATGCCTAGCAAGGATGCCAGCTCGTGGGGATGAAGCTGTGGCTAAATGCTGACTTTCTCTTGTCAAGTGAACCCAGTCAGCCAGCACACATCTTTTAAATACCTGCAAAATGTGGGGGTGGCAGACTGGGGAAGTGGAGCTGAATAAGACAAGATGTCTACCCTCAATGCGCTGACAATCTAGTTGGGAAGATAAGGTGTGCTCGCATGAAAAGGTAACTAGCAAGTCAAATGTAGCAAGGTATGTTGGATTTGGGCACGTTCTAAGTAAATGTGGCTGAGTGACCTTGCGTCAAATCTAAAGGGCTACCAGACTGTAGCCAGAAGAGGAAGAAAGCAGCCTATCCTCCAACAGTAAAAGCTATAAACCCTACTAAATACAGTACTGGTCAGTCCCAGGTGGGCAGACCCCTGACAGTCATGATGTCACAAAGACCTCTCAGAACATTCCATCCATCCTTCAACATGTAAAGCTGCTACAGGGTGGGTGCCTCACTGAACAGTGCCTTGCTTACAATATAAGTACTATGGCAGCCCTGACTGGTGTTGCTCAATTGGTTGGGAGTCATCCTGCAAAGCAAAAAGTTCACTGGTTCAATTCCAGGTTGCAGAATATGCCTGGGTTGCAGGTTTGGTCCCCTGTCGGGGCACCTCCAAGAAGCAACCAACCAGTTTCTCTCACATTGATGTATTTTTTCCTCTCTTGCCCCTCTCTATAAATACATACATACATACATACATACATAAATTTTTAAAGGTGCTATGGCAGAGCTGTTGCTGGACGCCTGGACTTTTGATGGTGATGCCTTGTTGTTGTGATCCACAGTCATGACTACATGGACTACTCTCAAAGGCACTGGATGAAAACTCCGGGGTTGCCCTACAGATCTAAGGTACGTCACCCCAAAGATGGGGCTCTCAGAGGTAAGAGAGCATAGTGTGTTTCTGGGGGCTGTGCTATTTTCTGGTCTATAGAAACAAAGGGTATTAGGCCTAACAGGGAAACTTTCTCTGCTGAATGAAACTGACACTCCCCCAGCTGTGTGGCAGGTGGCACACAG